GTTTTATTTAAAATAAGGTATATATTTCAACACTTTGATTAGTTTATGTGTAGATTTGCCAATGATGCATCCATGCTTGCCAAAGCTAACACACACTTATCTGAGATAAAAACTTAAGTAAACATTTTTGTGGGTAATTGTAAGAATACTATATTTATTATAAATGTTCTCTCTGCTTTAATTAAATGTATTTACATACTGCAGGAACTCACGGTGTGTCAGATACTTCTATCTCACACCATATCTCAGATTAAAAAGACTTTTTAGTTCAGCTGAGCTCTGCGGGCACTCTGTCTGTGAACTAATAAGGCTTTCCCCTGTTTCAGATGGGAAAATCATCAAAGCTGAGCCTGGACAGAACGTGTCTCTGCCATGTCAAACTCCAAACATCAGCGTGCCCATCAGATCTGTGGAGTGGTTCAGACTTGACCTGCAGGAAGGACATGTCCTTATGTACCGGGATGAGCAGTTTATTTCAATGAACCAGCTTCCATCGTTTGTGAACCGGGTGGATCTGCAGGACAGACAGATGAAGGACGGAGACGTGTCTTTGACTCTGAAGGATGTGACGAGTGATGACACTGGAACATTTCAGTGTTACGTCATCCAGAGAGGAACAAATGGCAGGAAAAGCATTTTTGAGTATATCAGCACCGTCTACCTGAGAGTTGTTCCTCCAGGTGAGTTTCTGTTCTTCGCTCATCACCTACCTGACAGCTGACCCCTCACACCTGTTTCTCACCTGCAGGTCAGACAGGAGGACACAGGAAAGGCAAAGGGAACGAGGATGTATCCTCTGAACTGGACTTTTGTTTAACAGTTAGTGTTATACTTGCTACACTAGCTCTTGCTTTTTTTATGACTTTCACAATACCCAAAACACAGGAGAAGAAGATTTGATCCAGCCATCAGATGACTCGACAGGTGAACCTTAAGTCACCTGCCCACTAAACACTGGACATGGGATAGACGTGCAGATCATGTCTATGCTGGGTCCATCAGTCCATGACCAATTCTGAACATCTATATATCCAAACTAGGTCCACAACTTGAAAGACCTTATCTGGTGTTACAGAAATGGCAGATAAAAGTCACTCCGAGGTCAATTTGCTCAGTGGGTTGTAGATGTCTAACATATCCTGAATTTATTTAATAATGCCTTTAGTGTTTCTTTAGAAACATTATTAAAACGATTAAATAAATAAATGAAATAAAGTGTTTTCTTTTCCAAGATTGTTTAGCTGTTAACCCTTTAAGACCTACCATAGAACCAAGTCTGCCAGAGCTTATATTATATTTTTACATGTTGTAAAGCCATTTTTGGGAGTATTTCAATTTGCTATACATCAATACAAACATTACAGCCTAAATTTTAATGATATGTATGCATTAAGTGCATAGCAATTACATAAATTGCAAAAAAGTGCAGTAAACTACAAAAAATTTAAAATCATTTTTGTTTTTTTAACATATATTTCTAGTTAGAGAAATTTAAGAGGCTTATCCCTCAAAACTGTAAATACAAAAAAGTTGCACAAAATAGTTTCCCAC